TTTATTGATAATTTTCACCAATATGATGATTGCAATAAATTATCTGCTTAATTATATGATGAAATATTTGTTGTAACTATATCTTTTGAATACTCACATAAAAGCAATTGGTATATGAGCAAATCCATAAAGAGTATGCTCGAGTTCTTTTCTAATTCAGCGATATGAGTACAATCACTTACTTCTAAATCTTACATGTTAGCCACCAACAACGTGATTATCATTGTTGTTGCAATCATTAATAACAAACAGATGATGAACTTAAATTATTGCTGTTAATTACAACATAAGTATTCCTACCCTTATAATACACCATCTTGCAGACATCGCTCCATTCTTTGTATTCCACTGATAAAACCTTGGAAAATAACTAAACATACCTCTAGTATTTCATTCATGTTCACTTTCACAGGTAGCTGGGAAACAAAAGTGTAGTAACTTAAATAATGGAAATGTTTGGAAATTTAAAAAATCAAGTCTCCATAATATGCTAACGTGAATACTTTTTCTTCGAAAGATGTGAAGTATATATTTAACTCTTTAGTCTCACACAGTACGCGTTATCGACCATATGTCAATTTTTCAAACAGCATGTATATTCAAAAATAGTCATGTGTTTCATAATTCACAAAACTTGTAATCGAAGCACATAATATTCAGTGTCACCTTTCCCCGTCTGCCTGTTTGAATATCCAATCAAAAATGAACGAACATCATAGTTCCGTAACGCATGATGTGTTTGTTGTGCCAGCCGTAGCGAATATGTTAGCACTGATGTCTCTCTGCTAAGATCATGATGCGTTTTATTTGAAAATCAAGTAAAGTTGTGCATTTCAGTGCACTAGTGAACACTTTCCATGCCATAAGATGTTGATAACTTCATGATACAAAGACCGCTCACTGCATTAATCAGTTGCTTAGTCTACATACAACGGGACAGACATACAACGGGACAGACCACGGTGGCACAGTGATTAGGACTCTCGCCGACCATTCACATGGTCCGGGGTTCCATACCCTGCCGACGCACACTCGATATCTATGGTCGGCCTGCGAAATTTGGGCTACCGATATACATGCTGAAAATGCCATACTTGTACTGAAAATACGGTGTAGCATCAAGCTGTAATCAAAATTTAAAAAATTAAAATTAAATTGTGGTTTTCACAACAGAAGTCGGACAATCCAATAGGTGATCGTTTTCGTACATGATCACAATTTGAATACAAATAGTGGATTAAGGGCTTAAGATCAATATTTGCCATGACATTACAAAAGCGGTGACAATTACACCTTTCGGGTTTGTTGAATTTCTACGCAAGCCGACTGATCTTCTGAATGAAATGAGAATTTCCCCGCACTTTGTCCACAACGTTTTTGACGGATTTCAGGAGGTACATCAGTATCCATAAAGACGACCTCATCAATAAAACAGATGAGGAAGCCCAACACCAATATCTCAGCTCAAATCACAACGAAGTGTGACAACTAATAAAATTATCAGCAATTTAAAGAATTCTGAGATCCTCTTTTGTCACTCCCAAGCATTGTAGCCGTCGTCTTGTTAGTCACAAGGCACCTATGCTAACCGATTATTTTTAGAAAAAGACCGACTTCATTAGGAACATCCATTTTTGCTGCGCAAACACGAAGTAGACACATATTTTTCCAGTTTTACCAAGTCTCCTCAGCCTACAAAATAATTATTCTTTTACGTTTCTCTATTTTTAGCGCCACCCAGTTCTTTGGGAAATGAACAACTTTGATTCAGTTTATTTTCCACATTTTTTCAGTCGTCGTATTTTATACTGACGGCTTTAGCAGGTACTGGACAAAACAGTGAAACTAAATGCCATACATCTTAATCAACTAAATTGTCTGTCCACTTAGGAGAATCCGTGGTGTTTGTGAATTCACCTTAGGTCAGCCGTTGGTATTCTATTACTTTTACTGACATTTGTGGAGAAAATTCGATCAAGTTTCTTCACTGTTCGTATACTATTTTGGACTAGAATTAGTATCAGTATTACGTTACTCTTTATAAATCCATGAGAAGTGGTATGAATTTTGTGTTCAAAATAAAATGACTATTGTATTAGTGAAAAATGTCAATGGTACTGGTTATCTTGTAAATCAGATTGCTCAGCCAATCTCTATCACATGCCATTTTCATCTACCTGAGCATCATAACAATAATTTCGCTTTTGTTATAACGAGAGGTGTGCGAAAAGATATGGTGGGAAAGGAAACAATCTCAATAGATACTGGTGAACTAATAATGTAATAAGACTGATTTAGGCATAGCAAACGTTAGTTTGAATGTACACACGACTTCAGCCTTCACAAGTGGAATTAAATTTCAATGACATCTGATATACTGAACCATTTTTATACAGAGGCATGCATAGTAGAAAAATGTGATTCACTATAAAGCATCATATACAACTGACTATTTCATGGGCATCCTTCAGTGATACCACTTTCAAATATGGGGTTTACCGAAACGGCAGATAAACTCACCTGTTCAATTCAGATATTAACCATACACGGTTTCAAATAAATTCATCAGGTATTTCAGTATTTCCACCGTTATTTCATTCTTGACTGACTGATAAGGCAATTCTGGCGTCTTTTCCTAACTTACAAAGGTGACTGGTATTATTTCACAATTCCACAACATACAGAATCCCATGCTTCACTTTGCTTTCACATCCGAAATTATATTGATGGACAACTGAGGAGTATCTCACTTATGGTGTGAAACAGACAGACTGTTTGTATGTGAAACGAGTTGTTATTTTCTTTATTTTCTGGATGACAGTATTAATATTGACCATCTGTCATAATGAAGGTAGAAAATATCGGATTCGAAATTTGCTTAATTTGTTAACCGTATCTCCATTCATTAGATAGTCATTATTACTATTGTTTTCTTGATTCAGGTCATATTATGGTCTGTGATCTTAGCCACTACGATCCAATATAATGAGTGGAAATGTGCTTTGATATCGTTGGCTGTCACAATTCCGGCTACTGGTAAACTTGTCGTGATTGCTTTCAAAGTACTGTCAATAAGTGAAATGGGGTTCATCGTCTTTTGTACTATATCAAACCTCCTTGTGGTTTCAGCTATCTTTGCAGGAATTTGAAATCAATTGACCGATGAAAAAATTGTCGTAGAATAAATCAATTTAAGTTGTAAAGATTTGCACACTATGTTTAGAAAACAGGATAAAATCCCCACACCATTCTGAAGTGTTCTGATACCTACGACCTTCATCGTATAATGATAAATGCAATAGATAGTGAAATATCAGCTGAGCTAACCGCATCAGATATGTGAGCTGCTTACTTTATTGACATCTGAGATTCCCGCAACATGTATGAATTTTGACTGATGGTTTTCGTTAGGAATTATTAAACTCAATCATGAAATTCATCAGATTTCAAATTACCCCAATAGAAATTTTGTTCTCATTCGATCTACATAAACGAAGAAATTAACTCGTCATTGAGACATGGAGTATGTCAGTTTACTTGATGTTTATTCCGCCAAACATTGCTTAGACACAGTATTGTCGTGGACAGGCCCATTTAATTAAATACTCTGTGATTGAAAATGGAGATGAATATTGACTGTATAGAAGCACATGGTGGCTATTCTTTGAGAAACATAGTTTCTTTTTCTGTTGCATGTTTGTTGTTATTGACTTCTTCCTTATCAATTCGTTATCAACTTTTCACTTACAGTACCATTATACGTCTTAATAACAACAATAATGACGAGATATATTTCTCTACAATGACGTTACTTCCCTCGTGTAACTACTGTTTTCCAGTAAAATTCATCTCACATTATGTATTTGCCAAATGTAACTTCATAATTTTGCATTTTCTTTTGCATATTTTGTATTCCAGTCCATTTATTCTTTTCCTAAACAGTCACGCGTTGTTTATTCTCCAACTCGAACTATCGTACACAGCGTTGCATTTTTTCCATATTGACTCATTCTGAAAGTGCATTTGAGTATACACAACACAGACACTTCACATTGCGAGCTTCCTGTATTCAATCTATTAAATTAATGTTAAATAGCATCGTATTTAATAAAAATCCTGTGATCTCGATTTTACACGTAACTCAGACGTTCGGTTTTATCAGTCGGAAAGTTGATTGCGAATGGTTATAACGTATAAGTATAAAACTTGGGCACTGTGGTAGAGTATAATTCCATAATGGATAAGATTTTATTTTGATAAATCACACAGTGTAGTACAGTTATATTAACTGATGACTTTTCGAGCACAAACTATTGCTCATAATCATATCAAGTTACTCACACAACTTCTTTCCTTCATTTATATACATGTGTGGAATCGACTAGATATTGGAATAAAATTCAATATGAGATAATGTACATTCAGAAATAATAGTACGAGTGTTATTAATCCATTGCAATTAGATGGAAAATACGACGAGTGTATTTCCCATCGTCGTATTTCCCATCTAATTGCAATGGATTAATAACACTCGTACTATTATTTCTGAATGTACATTATCTCATATTGAATTTTATTCCAATATCTAGTCGATTCCACACATGTATATAAATGAAGGAAAGAAGTTGTGTGAGTAACTTGATATGATTATGAGCAATAGTTTGTGCTCGAAACGTCATCAGTTAATATAACTGTACTACACTGTGTGATTTATCAAAATAAAATCTTATCCATTACGGAATGGTTATAACGGATTTCTTCGAAGAAATCTACAATTTTTTTTAACACCAATTTTTGGTTTAATTAGGTGATCCAGATATACAAGACAAACAAATAAGTTATCTTTGTACTCTGTAAACCTTTGAGCTATCGACAGCCTATACTCGTTTGAAAAAAATTCACCAATAATTAAACTAGCTGCTTATGATATTGCGATCCATACCAACACTTTAATGTGTATAAAAATTCATGAATAACGTTGAGATTCAAAAAAGAATTCGATCAATTTGGATGCTTTGATTTCACTAAACGTGAACAAAGTCAAACTATATATATATATATATATGTACTAAAGAACATTTTCGCAGACAAATACATCAGAATACAGGATTTATTTCAGGTGAGTGAAATATTGTCATGTTTTTTCTGCTAGTTTTCCTTGAATTAATTTTTTCTTGAGTTTACTTAAATATGAATGAATAGATGTTATCGATTAAAGTTTATTGTTGATCACAGCTGACAGACTTTACTCCATTTAAGACGAGTGACAAAGCCTAATAAGTTGGGTTCTATTGACTCCATCAGTAGGCAGTAGAAATCTTCAGGTATATTTTCTACAAACAGAGACATTTACACCATCAGAATTACGTTGGGAGATCTAAGACTGATTTGTGAGTAAACTCCATTGAATCAATCATGCAAAAACCATTGTTTTGACTATTCTTCAGGCCATGTTCAAATAGACAAGTGGAAGTGAGTTTCCAAGATTGAAATTAGGCTGATAATCACTAACAACTCAGCTACATCATCCGAAAGAACAATAAGTCATCAGAAAAAGACCTTGAGTATATCAAGAATTGGAAACTGTGTAATACCGATAATGATGTTATTGGTAATAATAATAATGATAATAGTAATGTTAACAGGGGTCCAGATAATGCTACTGATAAAGATATTTCCAAATGAATCAAGACTGATAATAAGAAGAGGTGGAATAAAGTGATGTATTAATAATAATAATAAAAATTGTGGTTAATAAGTAAAACATTTCACCATGGTTGATTAGGTGTAACTACCATCGCCTTCTCTACACTGAGACCTGGTTTATTAATTCTAATTGCGCAAGCGTCAACAATTGCCACCATCTTCTTGTCTGTTGTTTGTAATTTGACAGTAGTGAATGTATTGAGGGAATCACTTTCATGTCTACAGTATATACGATCCCTTGTTATTGATTTTTTTGGTAAGATTACTTCAACTGTTTTCAGACACTTTTGCAAATTGTTCATCATACGAGCAGAAAATCACCCTTCCGTCCTACCAATGCGTTCATTTCTACAAACACACTCCAAATTAATATATTCAGTTTCAATTGTCGATAGAAGTCGACTAGTCGCTCCCAGATTGTTGAAGCAGTCGTTTGGTGATACAGCATCATAAATTCTACTCAAAGTTTTATCGAGTTCATTTTCTCCCGTTAAATGTTCTACACTTTTGTTAGGAAGAAAACAGAAATTATGTTTCAGTAAATTTTAGTTAGTAGTATGAATGAAGCAGATAGCTATTATGGCTGGATTTCATCTAAAGTCACTCTTTAGTAGCTCATTATCGACGAGACGGTTGTTCTTATTTTGAATCCACAATCTTGTAGCAACGCGTCACCGTTTAAAGCCTTACCGATTCACATATCATATTCCACCAAATGGAAGTTAACTCATCCTTTAGAAAATGCATTTAGTTGTGTTAGTTTCACATGAATACTTTCGTGTATCCAAAATGTTGTTAAAGTTTTATTCAGGTCTCAAAGATTATTTAGGTGTATTTCTCCATATCATGATAAATTTCTCTTTATCGAAATCTACAAACAAGCTTAAATAACGAATTTAATCAAACTACCAATTCACTGTTCTGAGAAAAATTATTTCGGAAAATATGATCAGGTTCACTTAGGAATAGTAGTGTTTGAATATTCCAAAATTTAACCTTACGAGCCTTAAGTTCGTCAACACTAATCGCATATCATGAAGATTGTTTTAATTCTGTTGTCTTTTTAAATTTTATTCACAGACTTCAGTGCAAACCGTGATGATAGGTTACATTGCACCTTATGTGAATCCGAAGATTAAGAGTCAGAAAGCACAAAATCCCACTTCTGTCAAGTATGTTTCGGTAAGATTAGCAGGATACGGGGAATCAGCTAATTTACTCTTAGTTCCTAATCAATATGACGCTTATGGTGTCGGTCACTGTCGGTTTGGTCGCTTCGTTTACTGCTGTGTAAGGTTGGATTAAAGGAGATAATAAAATCTCATCTTGCTTTGCAGGCGAGTTATTCCGAGGTTTTTCATGGAACGCGTCTATCTGGTGTATATTATGATGTAAGTTATCCATTGAATATTAATATTTATTCATTGAATTAATTATTCCTCTAGTAGATAGCGAGTGCAATTCATTTATTGTACATTGCCATTCTCTATCTGTTTAATCTGTTATATGCCGATAACTTCCATCATTTGGAAATGAATTCACAAAGCCTTCATTTCATTGCATTTCTTGGAGTATATCAGTCGATTACTTTGCTTGAAGGAACCTAAACCAAATAAGTTGGCATTCATGTCAATTTAGAAATATTACTATCAGGAATAAACATTGCAACAATGGCTATGCCACCAAATGCGTTGTTGACACGTTGGTTCGAACGCTCTCATATCATGCACATAGACCGAGCTTCTATCCCGGCAAACATACACTTGATATCAGTGGTCAGCCTGATAAATTTAGGCTATCAATATCACATGCTGAGAATTCCATACTTGCACCAAAATACTGTGTGGAATCAAGCTATAATAAAAACAAATTAGTTATAAAGTAACGATCTATTAATGAGTTATGTCAAAATATCTGAATAGATAATAAATAAGTAACTGCTCTTTTTGACTCTTATATTGCTTACTGCTGTAGAGTAACTGTTTCCTTCGTTCCTTGTATTCCGACTGAAATATTAGACTAAATGGTTGAGGCCCTGAAACTTCACTAGCATTCGTGTTGTCTTCTAAGCGATGAGTTTGGCAGCCTCATGCACAACACTCATTGTTCTCACGCTTACTACTAGCTGTTAAACTAGGCAAGGTTAAGGAGTAAGTCGATTAGGAATTGAATACCAGAACACTTACTTGGTTGGTGGGTATTTCAGATCCGGCTAACAAGACCTACTATTCATTGTTCATAAAAAGTGTTCGACAATACAGTTGGTTTATTTAACTCATACCTCACCACTGTTGTGTGAAATGAGGATGATTTTCATGTATATTTTATCATAAACTTATTATTTGATTTTGAAATCTACACTGACGTATGCTGGTAGGACAGCTTTTGTCATGAGTGTATATTTTTGTTGAATACCATAAATCAGGATTTGATATATGTATCCATGCATGTAATTGATAAATACAGGAAGATTATTTTTACCAAACTCCATCAGATCCTCATGCTATCACAATCAACCGTGCGTGTAAAGAAAATGGAGTATGACTATCTACTATTTCAAATATAATGTTTGTAATGATATAAATATGCTCTATAACAGTGATCAAAATTGCTATCGATAAATGTGAATAAATTAAAGGATCTATCCCATTAGGCATGGATAGAGTGTAGAAAGTTGCATTTACCAAGTTTCAGATGGCATTACTATATTTTATACAGGGGTTATTACGTGATAAGTCATTTCAATTATTTGCCGGTTAAAACGAGTTTTGAGTGTTTCCAAATTCGTTTTAGATCTGTCGCCATTATTCCATTACTTCTAATTGCATTAGTGCGAAAAATTCGATCGAACGTTTACGCTGTTCCAATACTACTTTGGATTATGGTAAGTAGCAGTATTACATTACCCCTTATAAAACCATGAGAATCGGCATTATTTTTGTGGTAAATAATATGACTGCTGTGTCATTTCAAAAATGTCTATGGCAGTGGTTATCTTGTCAGTGAGATTCGTACTACTAATTCTGACGCATGCCGTTTCCATCATTCAATGGGAGCCATAAAAAATAACAAAATTATGAGAAAATATGTGGGGAAGAAGGAAATCATCTTCGTAGACACTTGTAAATTCGTGAAGAAATAGAGGTGATTCAAGTATAATAAACACTAGTCGAAATGTACGAATGAATGCGAAACTGGGAAAAACTTTTAACGATATCCAATTAATTGAAGTAATTTATTAAAAGCAAGCAGAATAATTCCTGAACAGTCTCTAGTGAAACTACTGAATTCAGATTTCAATTTCATTCGGTTTCATTTCACTTCATCATAAACTCATCAGGTTATTTAATATTTCACAGTGATATTTCGATCTCAGAGCACAGACAGGGTGACTGAAGCATCCATTCCCAATAAACAAAGGTAATGGTTATCTACAATATTACAAAACTCCACAGCTTACTAAAATTTATTACTTCAGTCTAACTATTTCATTCGAAATAATATTGCGCACAACTGAGGAATGTCTCACTTGCACCATCCAACACGTAGACTGCTTGTTCATGAAACAAATAGTTATTTTCTGCATTTCATAATGGTGACAGCAACATCGCGCACACATGAAAAGCGATGAGGTAAATGTTGAATTTGACATGTGCCTAATTTTCTCAGAACGCCTTCACATATCAGATAATAATTGCTTAAATATCACTGCTATTGCTTTCTTCATATAGGTTATATTATGGTCTGTGATCTTTGCTGCTGTGTTCTCACCATGTAAATGGAAATGTGCTTTGATAGCTTTAGCCGTGACAATTACGGTTACAGCTGGGGTGGTCTTGGTGGCTATGAGACTACCACCATTGAATGTAAAGGGGTTCATCTTATTTTTGTCAATATCAGCCGTCCTTGGGGTTTCAGCTGCTGTTTTAAGCATCTGTTATCACTTGATACCTGAACTAAAAATGGTAAGTTACATTAATTTATGTATTATAATTACGAAATGGGATAATATCTCAAAGTCATTTTAAAATGCCCTGTTGCTTATGATTTCTTTCGTAATAACGCCAAGTGTAATAGACAATGAAATATCGGCCGAGCAAAATAAATCAGACACATAAGCTGTTTATCTTACTAACATTCGATTTCTTCAGCACATATTTAAATTTTGAAGGATTCGTTTCGTGACAATTTTTACTCTCACCACTGAAATTCGATAGATGCCACACTCATCATAGGAACTTTGTTCTCACTCTAAGTATCTGGTTATCCACTGAGTGTTAATGATTAGAAGAGGATTCATATAAGAGCCTAGTTATTTTTGTAAAGCATGTTGAGTGACATTCATGCACATTCCAGCATCTCTACATTCTACTACCATCACTTCAGTTTTGGTAAAACTTATCCAGCTCCGATTCAAAACGATGCTAAGTAGTTCAGATACAGTTTAATTTGACGTCACTGTGTCCAACGGAAGGCATTTTAGTGTGCTTTAATTATAATCAATGTAAACATGTCAGCAGTGTTTACTTCGGTATATTTGCTGTTATAATAATTTACATGAAGCAACAAATCTTGTGTTTCTCTTAGTGAATGTGCCACCTTCTTTCTGTATTTCATAGAAACCAATAATCTGCATACTGCTAGCTGTTCCAGTCGCGTTATTCACACTCTTGGTAAGTTTTTCATTAGATCAGTGTATTCACTACAATTCAATTTTGCCGTTAAATTGCTCACAGCACATCAAGTGTGGGATATCACCAGTATGCAGCGTAAATCAGTGATTAAATTTTCACATTAAATAAATTTGCACTTTGTTACAAAATGCCAACTGATAGTCGAATTAAGCTGTAAAACATGCTAAGCCCTCAGTCAGAGCAATGTTGGAATCTGTGAATCAGAATCTGTGAGACATTATCACTAAGCCTAATACCCTTTTATGATTTTCCTGAATGCTGCAGGTGAAACAGCAAACTAGATTTTGGTTGTTAAAAAATTTCCGAAAATTATTGTCAATTTCATTTGACGGTGATTCTTAATTCTCCTGATTCCTACTGTTCTTAGACGGTGGAAAAACATGCAAACTGGTAAATTTCAACAAGATTTCTTTTACTTATACATGTAACATACATCTGACGGAAAATATACATGTTTGATAATCGCACGTGAAACTGTTTAATTGCGACGAAGAAGCATCATTCAGAATTCAGCCATTCAACAAAATTGACAACTTAAGGATGACTAATGATTTCAACATACACACGTGTATCCTCAACCATAAAGACAGATAGTGATATATTCCACCCATACATACATCAGGCGAAAACCTTACGCAAAATCTTACCATTACAACAACAGCAACAAAGTATGCATGTTTGTTTTGATCGGCCATCAATCAGAGTTCCTTTTAATATAGCAAGTGGTGCAAACATAATGTTCTGGAAATTCTGTTGGCGAACATGTGTCAAATTAGATAAATCAAAAAGATCACAGTAAGTAAGCAGTCTGGAATCGTTTGTTAAAACGAAGCGCAAGCTTTTATCAGAAGCATACATATCCAGAAATATGCGACAAAAATGAATTATTCAAAACATCACTGCATTTCAGCGACAGTTTCTGCTAAGTGCTGACGTACGTCTAAAAGAGATCATATCAAGCATAACACGGAAGCTGTTAGTCTGTTTCTGAATAATTTAAATTATTTGAGGCGCATAGACTTCACCTCATTTTACTGACATCGCAATCATCAAAGTCAACAGATTTTCGCACAATGAAATTCGAGTTTTCTCGTAAAATGTATGCACATATAAAGTAGTCATTTGTTTCTGAATTTGTTTTGCTTCTTCACAATTTAGGTGATGTTTATTTTTGTCAATATCCGAACGTGGATAATGTGGTGGTTCACGTCCAACCCCATGGGTTTTATTCTTGCTTTCTTCATTTGGTGTCACATGATAAGCCTATTCGCACAAATTTATTCCAGCCTAGGATTATGTGAGGCCGGACTTTGTAACTTGTTAAAATAACATTTATTTGTGGGTTGGTTGTCGAATTATTTTCGTTGAGCATTCCCCAACATATAATTATTGTGCCTAAATATCCACTGTCATATCAAAATTTGCTTCTAATTTCACATATGCTTACCTCTCTTGAACACTGATGATTAACGTAATCTTCATAAAAAATAAATGCACAAATATAAACGAAATTATCACCGAAGAATCTGCACCCATTTCTGATTATTTTTCAGATGTTTTTGTGCTAAATGATGCATATTTCAAAATGTCTTCTGATGATACAATCAAAAGTGGAATGCTTATTTCTAATTCTCAGCACAGCAAACGCTCTGTCAGTTTGTAAAGATGATTCCATGGTAAACGAGTGCGCATTTTTGAATCCATACCTTGAGAACTATCATTCGAATTACCGTCTAATATGTTGAGAAAATACTTAAGGATCTCAGTCGATCAGCATTTTCAATAAACTAAGCTGGACAGTGAGGTGTGTTGAGTGTTTATTTTAGTCATAATATGTGTTGTCTTCATTATAATGTTGGTTTCAACAACTCATGAAGAGCGTAATTGCAGGATGATGAAACAATTCTGAATGACCGATTCAGGCTGATCAATAGGCCACCAAAATAGCTTTCTTTCAGTTAAAAGAAACAGTAGGGAGCTTGTGAAGTCCAACTTAATTACACAGATGATGTAAGGGATCTGTATTTCTGTGCATGGTCGGCGACCGCCCTAACAGTTATGCTACCGACATAACATTATTCTCCATAAAATTCAGAAAGGCAACCAGTCAAATTATACAGCCAAGATTCCACCAATCAATGAATGGGTGAAGCAGAAATCCCACACTGATGACAATGAAATCTAAGAAAGCTCACAGCCAACCACATCAGTACCCAATAATGTGCTCCTTGGAGAATACAAACCACACAACACATTCCTTTATAGCTAGATATGTTATTTCCACAAACAGACAAACACCATACAGAGTGTTGCATAGTCAACTTGACAAACACTCTGAAAAGAATAGTTAGGAAATTGAAAACATATTCAGGTATATAACAACGCTCACAAACCTCGTATTCACGGAAATATTTAGGATAAAGCGAGGTTAGATCACCTGTCCGTTACTCACACACTGACTAAAACAAATAACGTCATTTATTTTGTGACTTAGGGAATAACTTCACTGATTGTTGAAATGAAACAACTCTGTAATCTTTGTGAAACCATAGAGTCTAATTTTGAAATATGACAACAAAATAACTTGAGAATCACTGCTTATGCCAATCATAACATGGTGTGTAAATATCTGAAAAATGTTCACATTAAGCAAGAGAGGTCTGGAGAATTTCCTCATTCTCCTTTGAGGCGTCTAAATAGTATGCATAAGCGAAGCGACGATGCAGAGTATTGGGCCACTTAATGTGATATAGTTACGTAGATAGTTACCCATTCCCCTACTTCAATTGTCGTTACCTCATTTTCGTGCTAACCATTTGGAAGAAACATTAATCGGGCATTGGAATACTGCGTTAGTGAAATAAACACATACATATGCGCATTGGGGTCGATGCCATTCAGAATGAATCTTGATATTTCTGTTCCAAACTTATTATTTATTATGATTGTATTCCTTTGAGTTCCGAGAAGAACACAATGCTATAATTTTGAGCTTTGATTATCGTTCAGTAGTGATGTTTATCTTATGCGGGGTGAAGTTGGTAGCTTCGTTCCCTGCCTATCCACTTCTCTGGTCTTACTCTCCTGTTAAACGAGATTTATGTATGCGTCAGCCACGTGTTAGTCGGCAAGTTTCTCAACACTGAACCACATCACGCCTACTAATATTTTTGTAATGGTTAATATTCTCCAATAGAACATGATCAGATTCAGTACAAGGCAGGTCGATATTAACTCAAATAAATTATTCATAAAAAACAATACTGGGGATTATTTTGGCAGGAATACGAATACCAATTCATTGAAATTCAAGTTTCGTTTTACGATAAGAACCCATTCGCATTACGTTTAATTTTCATATGTACAAAAGTTCGCTTTGGTTCATTTACAGTCATCATAAGTTTATGGCTCCATTGTAAAATTCGTTGCTATTGGCTTTCGAATATGACGCCATGTTACCTTGATAACCATTATTGAAGAAAATAAAAGACAGATTCATTATTATTATGATGTGAGAGAATTGGTAGCTTGTATGATTTGTCTGTCAGTTGATCTGCATTCACTATCACATCTGAGCATTGAGTTGAATTTAGGCTAGCGTAAAGCAAATTTGCAGTGAATATGGAGTTAGAACGAGTCTGACTGAAGCCGAACTAGTGGAGTGGACAATATCTTCATTTCATCAGTTTTGTTCCTATCCAGTATAAACGTTCCCTAGTGAAATGTTTGTTCTCAAGGGCCCGAAAAATATGCACCAGTGACACAGTGATAGATACATTCAGTTTTATTAGCTAATGGTATTCCGGTAAAGAAAGACCACATCTCGAAAAGACAGTTTCTGTACCAAAGAAAGCTATCTTTATTAACCTAACATTCAAGGGTGACTAAATAATGCAGTTGACGGCTCAAAGACTTCGGTCAGCCATCAAACGCACATTCTACGCCGCATCTCTTGTTCTCACTTGCCGACTATTTTCAATCCCTGTACCTACGATTAAAGGACGAAATTCTGTGGACTCTACTTCACACTGTATCTACAAGTTCACCCGCAGCTGAGGTGACAGCTATATAGGTAGAAACAACAGAATGTTCCAATTTCGTTGGAAAGAACATGTTACAAAATGGCCACCAAATCATATAGAAAATCCCAATGCCAGTAATCTGAATATAAATCCAGCATCATCCATTGCAAAACACTTATTAATGTCAGGTCACAAAATCAATATTAATGACTGTTTTACAATTATTTCACATGACTCTAATTCAAGGTTATTGAAGGTGATGGAAGCACTTTGGATTAATCACATACAGCCTAAACTGTGTGTACAAAAGACAACAGACTTCAATCTTCGCCTACCATGGACTACATGACCTTTTAAATATGATTGGTCATTAGTGTGTACTTTTGTTTTAATTTAACTGAGGAATTGTCATCAGCTTTATTTTATTATTGTTAACCATGTTAGTTGTAAAGCGGTTGTAAAGAAACTGCGAAATGAAATCATCTCGCTAAATTTGTCTTCTTAATGCCTTATCAAAATTTATCAAAGGGACTAATTTTTCAAATATATATATATATAGACTAAGAAATACGAAGACGTAATTTGTCTGAATCGTGTAATGCATTAGCACAACACATTTCAAAAAATATGATCACACACGGACTTGTCATAGGAATATATGTGAAATTAATAATGAGTTACGATGTCAGAAAATAGACTTAGGTCAAGTTAAAAGGACATATTGTAGGTCCAAATAACAATGGAGACCACTAAACCAAATAACAGAGGTAATAGTACATCTGCTATGCTATCAAAACAAAGTTTATGAAGGAAGGTTAAGTGTGATGACAAAATGTTGCTTTGAACTCATAAAGATTGTTTAAACTTCCTAATTACCAGTTAGGGCTTTCACAAACTTTAGGATACGCTCCACACATATTGGATAGATACGTTTAAAAGATGTGTTAACGTCCTATTCCTATAATATGCTAATCGTTCTATGTGTAATTAACATATATTCACTGACTAAATGAAATCTAGGTAGATCGAATTTTGTGGAGTGTCATCAGAATCACTGTTGACATCTAGATGAGAGCATTAATTTGTATGAACTCACAAATGGGCTAAGTCAGATCTTCTGAGGAAGATCCCAACAGAACGAATGCGACTCTACCTAAAAACTGTGACACATCTTAGCAGTACATCTCAGACAGTCTTCTCACATATCTACGTCTTTATTCACTGTGGACGGGGATGAAAGCAGACGAGAAAATGGGCTACATCTAAGTAATGTAAAACACCAAGAAAGTAACAAGATAATCTAAAAGAGGCCAATAACTGGTAATAACTGGAATTATCCTGGTCTTCTCTGAATCAAATATCAGCTAAAATGCTCATTCCGATAAGGGAAAGCGTAATGATGAATGACAAAATGGAAAATCGCAAAAACGTCTTTGTTTAACATGAATCACATATTATGGAGATAACGAGCTCATTTTCTCAGATTTGTTGAAACGTATCAGTCAAGCATTGAAACTTTGGTGTTGCTGCGTAAGATATTACTACAAATTTGTGAAAACACAGTAAATTTAGTTATTTTCATCAGAATCGTGACTGCTTTCTGTCATTGATGTATTTAATTATGCCCGTTGTGAGACGGATTCATGTATAAATACCGTATGTCTACTCAATCACACCACTTCTATATCTGCTTGCAGTTACTTCGAATGTTTAAAACGAATGTATCATTCGACACGCAATCTTACCATGATCATATATAAACGCTTCTGTGTGCTTCAGACGACAGTTATAATATGTAAACATTAATGTGAAAGGAACAGTGATATCGACGATCATAGGTACATTTTGATTATTGTCATATCAATACAATAATTCTTCACTGATTCTAGTCTTCATATGTTCATTCAAGTGAGGGAGAATGAGTAATCAATTCTGAAAACAGTTGTTGACTGAGTACACTATTCACAAGGCAGAAACATTATGGTGATCAGCCAGGAACAATAAAGCAGTGTCATCAGATAATCCTTACAGAAATATAGATATGTTTGCCACGACATGAACACTGTCTAACTAGAAGAAAGCCTCAAGTGGTATGATGAATTGAACTGTATTCATTTGGAACATTTGCTGACCATTCTACAGGCAACTGTCTCTTGGTGAACATTTTCAGCGTTTTGAGATAACCAGCTAAAATTAAGTAATAAGTTCATTGCATTTGCTTCATATTAAACGATTACAACCATGGTCTTGGATTAAACATCAAGTACATGAGTTCAATCTCATCTTCAATTTATCCCTTGACTACCTCTCGCTCCGTGTGAGACCATGCATTATTATTCAGCGGAAAATATTCCTGAACTTATATAAACCAGCAGACAGAGATTATGCTCAGCATAAATTGGATTATGTACAGCCTTAGATGAATAATTAAAGCCATACTGTTAAAACATACGGTTCGGAAAACTGTAC